CATACATACATACATACATACATACATACATACATACATACATACAAACAAACACACTTTCATTTTATATATATAGATGAATATTTAAGTTCTTAGTGCAAAATTTGAAGAATTTAGTTCTATTAGTTTCCCAGATAAACCAATTTTTGTATTTTATTAAAATGGGAGGTACTGCTCCCCTCATGGGTAGTCCGCCAATATATTTCCCAAAATGTTTATATGGATATTAAAGTTACTCGTGCAAATTTTTAATATTCTAACTGTAATAGTTTCCAAGATAAACGAATTCTTGTATTTAATTTATATGGGAGGTGCCACGCCCCTAATGCTAATCCGCCCACTTTTTGTCTTAAATAATTATATTGATACTAAAGTTGCTCCGACAAAATTTTAAGACTCTAACTATTATATTATCTCAGATATACTAATTTAATATTTCTTAATATGGGCGTGGCACGTCGCCCACATGAAATTTCAACATAAAAAGTAGCCTATAGTTCCTTCCAGACATACAGGAAGAAACTGTGGAAATTTCAGGAAAAGCGGTTCAGCCGGGAGCAGCGAGTAAAGCACAAACAAACAAACAAACAGACAGACAGACAACACACCAGGGGGAGAGAGAGAGAGAGAGAGAGAGAGAGAGAGAGAGAGAGAGATAGAGAGAGAAACAAACAGACATACAGAAACACACTGGTAGCAGAGAGAGAGAGAGAGAGAGAGAGATAGAGGAGAGAGATAGAGAGAGAGAGAGAGAGAGAGAGAGAGAGAAGAGAGAGAGAGAGAGATAGAGAGAATAGATAGAGCGAGAGAGAGAGAGATATAGATAGAGAGAGAGAGAGATAGATATATATATAGAGATATAGAGATAGAGATAGATATATATATATATATATATATATATATATATATATATATAATATATATATAGTTACTCGAATATTAGTTTTTGTCCTTCTAAGATAACGCAAACTTGCTCTCGGCTATGGTCAAAGAAGTTTGATTTTTTTCAACAGCCGCACAGTGGGGCAGAATCGAAATACTAAAATATGAAAAATATGAAATTAAAGGATACAGGTTTAAATGAACATATTTTTGAATGTAATTGAGATATTGGCTTGAAAATTTTTGTAAAGAATCGAGAATTTCCATATCTAACTAAAAAAAGATATTAAGGGATAAATATGTACTAAATTGTTGTAGCTATCTGCGACCCTATTAAAATTTTGATATAAATCATAGTTTTAGAAATTAAACAAATATGTAATATATGACAAAATCTTTATTTATGAACAAAATTCAATTAAATTTTCAACGCTTGTTAAATTTGTCATTTCAAATAAGAAAATGCAAAAAAATTGAAAAGGTCAAAGGGCATCCCGCAATTCCCAAAAATAGGAATGAAAATCCCAAAAATGGGATTAAGATTAAAAGAGTTAAGACACATTTTTGGCAAAAAAAAACGGCAAAAATCTAAAATTTTTTGAATTTTTAAATTAAAAAACGTATATTTTTGGAGCTGTAAATGATATTGATCTGAAATTTTTTGTATATTATTGGAAATTTTGTTGTCTAACTAACAAAATTGAGTCCATTTCCAAAATTACGCCCGGTATTCCAAAAAATGCGGACCAAGGTATGGTAAATTTTGTATCACTAAATTTTTAAATGCCTATAACTCGGATATTATAAGAGATAAGTAGTATGTCCAAGCATGTTTTTTCAAGATCTCGTCGAGCGCTTTCAGAAAATATATTTGGATGAAAAACAAAAAATGGCACGAGTTTAAAAATTTTACATGTCGTAGGTACCCTACTTTGAGCCGCCACAGCGCCGTCCCTGGGGCATCTGCGGGGTTCATCTTCAAAACTTAAACTCGAATACTCCTTGGCTACGCTCACGCCAAATTTTATACCGATCGGATCAGCCGTTTAGAAATGTCAGATTTATTTCCAAAAAATTTCGATTCTGCCCCACTGTGCGGCTGTTGAAAAAATCTAACTTTTGTTTGTGCTTTATAGACTGCTAAACGGCTGAACCGATTTTCCTGAAATTTTCACAGTTTCTTCCTGTATGTCTGGAAGGAACTATAGGCTACATTTTATGTTGAAATTTCATGTGGGCGACGTGCCACGCCCATATTAAGAAAATATTAAATTAGTATATCTGAGATAATATAATAGTTAGAGTCTTCAAATGTTGTGGGAGCAACTTTAGTATCAATATAATTATTTAAGACAAAATTTGGGCGGATTAGCATTAGGGGGCGTGGCACCTCCCATATAAATTAACAAGAATTCGTTTATCTTGGAAACTATTACAGTTAGAATATGAAAAATTTGCACGAGTAACTTTAATATCCATGTAAACATTTTGGGAAATAAATTGGCGGACTACCCATGAGGGGAGCAGTACCTCCCATATTAATAAAATACAAAAATTGGTTTATCTGGGAAACTAATAGAACTAAATTCTTCAAATTTTGCACTAAGAACTTAAATATTCATCTGAACATATTTTAGAAAAAAGAGCGGACTTTCGTCATGGGGAGTTTGGAGCCCCCATATAAATTTAATAGGAAAATTATTATATCTGAGAAACTATTAGAGCTAGAATCTATATATATATATATATATATAAAAATGAAAGTGTGTTTGTATATATGTATGTATGTATGTAGGTATGTATGTATGTATGTATGTATGTATGTATGTATGTATGTATGTATGTATGTATGTATGTATGTATGTATGTATGTATGTATGTATGTATGTATGTATGTATGTATGTATGTATGTATGTATGTATGTATGTATGTATGTATGTATGTATGTATGTATGTATGTATGTATGTATGTATGTATGTATGTTTGTTTGTTTGTTTGTTTGTTTGTTTGTTTGTGCTTTATAGACTGCTAAACGGCTGGACCAATTTTCCTGAAATTTTCACAGTTTCTTCCTGTATTTCTGGAAGGAACTATAGGCTACTTCTTATGTTGAAACTAGCTAAAACCCGGCGTGCTTTGCTACTCCTGTCGATATAAAATAAAAAATTTTCAAAATATATTGATATGCATTTTTTGTTTATAAAAATTTTATTAATATTTGTTTTTCACTATCCAAAAACACAAAGTAATAAGACAAAGAAAGTTCGATATTTAAAGTATTTTATTAATTAATTATATTTATGTACATATATTATTTCTTAATAATTATTTCTTACAAGGAGGATTTTATTTCATTGATGCGCCAGGAGGAACCGGAGAAACCTTTCTCATCTCATTAATTTTAGCTAAAGTTCGATCGCAAAAGAATATTGCCTTAGCCATTGCGTCATCAGATATTGCAGCAACACTTTTAGATTATGCACTCAAATTACCGTTGAAAACACAATTTTCTGAAGATTATACATGTAATGTTAAGAAAAATTCTTCAATGGGTAAAATCCTGCAAACATATAAAATAATAGTGTGGAATAAATGCACCATGGCCCACAAAAAATCCTTAGAAGCGCTTGATCGCACTTTAAAGGACATGAGAAGTAATTCTAATTTATTTGGAGGTGCATTAATTCTTTTAGCGGGTGATTTTCGCCAGACACTTCCTGTGATACCTGGTTCAACACCGGCTGATGAACTCAATGCTTGCCTAAAATCATCATATCTCTGGCAACATGTTCACACGTTAAAATTAACAACAAAACAATTGCTGGATGTAGGAAATGGAAAAATGACAATTGAGCCAACCACAAATTGTGTAAAGTTTCCCTCTAACTTTTGTAGGATCACACAATCAAAGAAAGAGTTAATATATTGTGTTTTTCCAAATCTTCAACGTAATTTCAAAAATAGGCAGTGGTTATGTGAGCGTGCTTTACTGGCACCCAAAAACATTGACGTTAATTGTATCAATAATATTATTTTGAATAGAATCGATGGTAATTTAAAAACATATAAATCCATCGATACTGTTACAAATAATGATGATGTCATCAATGTATCCCCACGAATTGAAGTTGAAAATTGGCGTTCCAATTATTTTATTGCGAAATATTGATCCACCACGTCTTTGTAATGGTACTCGATTAACAGTTAAAAAATTAATGAACAAATTAATCGAAGCAACGATTACAACTGGCCAATATAAAGGAATGGATGTCTTACTACCTCGGATCTCAATGACAACATCGGAAATGCCATTCGAATTTAAACGGTTGCAATTTCCTACACGTTTGGCATTCGCGATGACAATAAACAAATTTCAGGGTCAATCCCTGCAAGTTTGTGGAATAAATCTCGAAAATCCATGCTTTTCACATGGTCAGCTTTATGTTGCATGCTCGCGAGTAGAGAAACCTTCAGATTTGTAAGGGGAAAACGAAAAATATTGTATATCCCAAGGCTTTAGAATAGGAAATAATTATTAAGAAAAAATTTTTAATTGTAAATATTAAGTCAATTATAATATTTTGTAAATTTATGCTAATGAATAGGAATAAGAAATAATTATTAAGAAATAATATATGTACATAAATATCATTAATTAATAAAATACTTTAAATATCAAACTTTCTTTGTCTTATTACTTTATGGTTTTGTATAGTGACAAACAAATATTAATAAAATTTTCATAAACAAAAAAATTTATATGAATATATTTTGAAAATTTTTTATTTTATATCGACAGGAGTAGCAAAGCACGCCGGGTTTTAGCTAGTATATATATTTATTTCAGTTTGATTTGAAGTTTATTTAATCACTTTATAAATATTTTTTTAGTTAAAAAGAATGGTGAAAACGAAAAATTTATTTTGTTAATTAAAATATATATATATATATATATATATATATATATATATATATATATATATATATATATATATATATATATATATAGTAACAAAATATTTTTTGTTACTATATATAAATTTTTTTTTCTCTGAAGCCGAATAGAAACCGGTAATTTATATCGATTAAACTCATATATTTCATTTATAGATCATTAAATTTTATTCCACAAGAAAAAGATTTGTTAGTTTCTTTGGTTGAAAAGCATTCTTCAGTTGTGGAATCCAAAGAAACTAACGCCATTACATGGGTCAAAGAAAAAAAATCAAATGTGGGATGTAATAGCAGAAGAATTTGGAAAACAGTGCCAAACACACAGGACCGAAAAAAAATTTAAAAGATAAGTACGAAAATATAAAAAAAAGAAACCAAAATTGCCTTAGCAGCAGAAAAAAGAAAAACCTATATGACTGGAGGAGGCTCATCTGCAACGGGATTAAGTAATAATGTCGATTCAGATAAAGGTAAGTATTAGGAATGTGTTTGCCCTTATCCTCTAGCTCTTCCATTCCGGACTCCATCGTCTGTCAAATCGAATCAAAATGCGCAATAGAGGTGGTTGTAATTTATAAGAAATAAAATGCTAATATGTTTAGCACAACCACTATTGCAAACGGAAAAGACAGGCAGAACATGAACAAGAAGCAATATACATATACCCCAACAATTTTTTAATATTTTTATAAAGCCATATTTTAATGATCTTTGGCTTAAACATTGTTTCTTATTTTTCCAGAAATTGCCAACATCAAATCAAATTATAGATCAAGTAGAAATTGATTTCGTTTCATTAGTAGAAGATGATTGCGAAGAAGGGCTTAAGGAGAGCAAACTTGAAAAGACAAGTAAAAAGTATACATTTTAAATATACACATTACTGGTCATAACAGTCTATATTTTTTGTACTTGTTTTTATATATATATATATATATATATATATATATATATATATATATATATATATATATATATATATATAGATTTATATATATATATATATATATATATATATATTTTAGGTTTTGAAAACTTTTTATTTTATATCGACAGGAGTAGCAAAGCACGCCGGGGTTTTAGCTAGTTTCAACATAAAAAGTAGCCTATAGGTTCCGTCCAGAAAGACAGGAAGAAAAAGGGCAGGAAAATGGGCCAGCCGTGTAGCAGGCGAGAAAGCACAAACAAACAAACAGACAATCAGAGAGACAGACAGACAGACAGACAGACAGACAGACAGACAGACAGACAGACAACAGACAGACAGACAGACAGACAGACAGACAGACAGACAGACAACAGACAGACAGACAGACAGACAGACAGACAGACAGACAGACATACAGACAGACAGACAGACAGACAGACAGACAGACAGAACAGACAGACAGACAGACAGACAGACAGACAGACAGACAGGACAGACATACAGACAGACAGAAGACAGACAGAGACAGACACAGACAGACAGACAGACAGACAGACAGACATACATAAGACAGAACAGACAGGACAGACAGACATACATACATACAGACAGACAGACAGACAGACATACTACATACATACATACAGACATACATACATACTACAGACATACATAATACATACATACATACATACATACATACATACATACATACATACCCATACATACATACATACATAATACTACAAACAAACACACTTTTCATTTTCTATATATATAGCATGAATATTTAAGTTCCTTAGTGCAAAATTTGAAGAATTTAGTTCTATTAGTTTCCCAGATAAACCAATTTTTGTATTTTATTAATATGGGAGGTACTGCTCCCCTCATGGGTAGTCCGCCAATATATTTCCCAAAATGTTTATATGGATATTAAAGTTACTCGTGCAAATTTTTAATATTCTAACTGTAATAGTTTCCAAGATAACGAATTCTTGTATTTAATTTATATGGGGAGGTGCCACGCCCCCTAATGCTAATCCGCCCACTTTTTGTCTTAAATAATTATATTGATACTAAAGTTGCTCCGACAAAATTTTAAGACTCTAACTATTATATTATCTCAGATATACTAATTTAATATTTTCTTAATATGGGCGTGGCACGTCGCCCACATGAAATTTCAACATAAAAAGTAGCCTATAGTTCCTTCCAGACATACAGGAAGAAACTGTGAAAATTTCAGGAAAATCGGTTCAGCCGTTTAGCAGTCTATAAAGCACAAACAAACAAACAAACATACATACATACATACAAACACACTTTCATTTTTATATATATAGATATATATATATAGATATATATATATATATATATATATATATATATATATATATATATATATATATATATATATATATATATATATATATAGTTACTCGAATATTAGTTTTTGTCCTTATAAGATAACGCAAACTTGCTCTCGGCTATGGTCAAAGAAGTTTGATTTTTTTCAACAGCCGCACAGTGGGGCAGAATCGAAATACTAAAATATGAAAAATATGAAATTAAAGGATACAGGTTTAAATGAACATATTTTTGAATGTAATTGAGATATTGGCTTGAAAATTTTTGTAAAGAATCGAGAATTTCCATATCTAACTAAAAAAAGATATTAAGGGATAAATATGTACTAAATTGTTGTAGCTATCTGCGACCCTATTAAAATTTTGATATAAATCATAGTTTTAGAAATTAAACAAATATGTAATATATGACAAAATCTTTATTTATGAACAAAATTCAATTAAATTTTCAACGCTTGTTAAATTTGTCATTTCAAATAAGAAAATGCAAAAAAATTGAAAAGGTCAAAGGGCATCCCGCAATTCCCAAAAATAGGAATGAAAATCCCAAAAGATTAAAAGAGTTAAGACACATTTTTGGCAAAAAAAACGGCAAAAATCTAAAATTTTTTGAATTTTTAAATTAAAAAACGTATATTTTTGGAGCTGTAAATGATATTGATCTGAAATTTTTTGTATATTATTGGAAATTTTGTTGTCTAACTAACAAAATTGAGTCCATTTCCAAAATTACGCCCGGTATTCCAAAAAATGCGGACCAAGGTATGGTAAATTTTGTATCACTAAATTTTTAAATGCCTATAACTCGGATATTATAAGAGATAAGTAGTATGTCCAAGCATGTTTTTTCAAGATCTCGTCGAGCGCTTTCAGAAAATATATTTGGATGAAAAACAAAAAATGGCACGAGTTTAAAAATTTTACATGTCGTAGGTACCCTACTTTGAGCCGCCACAGCGCCGTCCCTGGGGCATCTGCGGGGTTCATCTTCAAAACTTAAACTCGAATACTCCTTGGCTACGCTCACGCCAAATTTTATACCGATCGGATCAGCCGTTTAGAAATGTCAGATTTATTTCCAAAAAATTTCGATTCTGCCCCACTGTGCGGCTGTTGAAAAAATCTAACTTTTGTTTGTGCTTTATAGACTGCTAAACGGCTGAACCGATTTTCCTGAAATTTTCACAGTTTCTTCCTGTATGTCTGGAAGGAACTATAGGCTACATTTTATGTTGAAATTTCATGTGGGCGACGTGCCACGCCCATATTAAGAAAATATTAAATTAGTATATCTGAGATAATATAATAGTTAGAGTCTTCAAATGTTGTGGGAGCAACTTTAGTATCAATATAATTATTTAAGACAAAATGTGGGCGGATTAGCATTAGGGGGCGTGGCACCTCCCATATAAATTAACAAGAATTCGTTTATCTTGGAAACTATTACAGTTAGAATATGAAAAATTTGCACGAGTAACTTTAATATCCATGTAAACATTTTGGGAAATAAATTGGCGGACTACCCATGAGGGGAGCAGTACCTCCCATATTAATAAATACAAAAATTGGTTTATCTGGGAAACTAATAGAACTAAATTCTTCAAATTTTGCACTAAGAACCTAAATATTCATCTGAACATATTTTAGAAAAAAGAGCGGACTTTCGTCATGGGGAGTTTGGAGCCCCCATATAAATTTAATAGGAAAATTATTATATCTGAGAAACTATTAGAGCTAGAATCTATATATATATATATATAAAAATGAAAGTGTGTTTGTATATATGTATGTATGTATGTAGGTATGTATGTATGTATGTATGTATGTATGTATGTATGTATGTATGTATGTATGTATGTTATGTATGTATGTATGTATGTATGTATGTATGTATGTATGTATGTATGTATGTATGTATGTATGTATGTATGTATGTATGTATGTATGTATGTATGTATGTATGTATGTATGTATGTATGTATGTATGTATGTATGTATGTATGTATGTATGTATGTATGTATGTATGTATGTATGTATGTATGTATGTATGTATGTATGTATGTATGTATGTATGTATGTATGTATGTATGTATGTATGTATGTATGTATGTATGTATGTATGTATGTATGTATGTATGTATGTATGTATGTATGTATGTATGTATGTATGTTTGTTTGTTTGTTTGTTTGTTTGTTTGTTTGTTTGTGCTTTATAGACTGCTAAACGGCTGGACCAATTTTCCTGAAATTTTCACAGTTTCTTCCTGTATTTCTGGAAGGAACTATAGGCTACTTCTTATGTTGAAACTAGCTAAAACCCGGCGTGCTTTGCTACTCCTGTCGATATAAAATAAAAAATTTTCAAATATATTGATATGCATTTTTTGTTTATAAAAATTTTATTAATATTTGTTTTTCACTATCCAAAACACAAAGTAATAAGACAAAGAAAGTTCGATATTTAAAGTATTTTATTAATTAATTATATTTATGTACATATATTATTTCTTAATAATTATTTCTTACAAGGAGGATTTTATTTCATTGATGCGCCAGGAGGAACCGGAGAAACCTTTCTCATCTCATTAATTTTAGCTAAAGTTCGATCGCAAAAGAATATTGCCTTAGCCATTGCGTCATCAGATATTGCAGCAACACTTTTAGATTATGCACTCAAATTACCGTTGAAAACACAATTTTCTGAAGATTATACATGTAATGTTAAGAAAAATTCTTCAATGGGTAAAATCCTGCAAACATATAAAATAATAGTGTGGAATAAATGCACCATGGCCCACAAAAAATCCTTAGAAGCGCTTGATCGCACTTTAAAGGACATGAGAAGTAATTCTAATTTATTTGGAGGTGCATTAATTCTTTTAGCGGGTGATTTTCGCCAGACACTTCCTGTGATACCTGGTTCAACACCGGCTGATGAACTCAATGCTTGCCTAAAATCATCATATCTCTGGCAACATGTTCACACGTTAAAATTAACAACAAAACAATTGCTGGATTTAGGAAATGGAAAAATGACAATTGAGCCAACCACAAATTGTGTAAAGTTTCCCTCTAACTTTTGTAGGATCACACAATCAAAGAAAGAGTTAATATATTGTGTTTTTCCAAATCTTCAACGTAATTTCAAAAATAGGCAGTGGTTATGTGAGCGTGCTTTACTGGCACCCAAAAACATTGACGTTAATTGTATCAATAATATTATTTTGAATAGAATCGATGGTAATTTAAAAACATATAAATCCATCGATACTGTTACAAATAATGATGATGTCGTCAATGTATCCCCACGAATTGAAGTTGAAAATTGGCGTTCCAATTATTTTATTGCGAAATATTGATCCACCACGTCTTTGTAATGGTACTCGATTAACAGTTAAAAAATTAATGAACAAATTAATCGAAGCAACGATTACAACTGGCCAATATAAAGGAATGGATGTCTTACTACCTCGGATCTCAATGACAACATCGGAAATGCCATTCGAATTTAAACGGTTGCAATTTCCTACACGTTTGGCATTCGCGATGACAATAAACAAATTTCAGGGTCAATCCCTGCAAGTTTGTGGAATAAATCTCGAAAATCCATGCTTTCACATGGTCAGCTTTATGTTGCATGCTCGCGAGTAGAGAAACCTTCAGATTTGTAAGGGGAAAACGAAAAATATTGTATATCCCAAGGCTTTAGAATAGGAAATAATTATTAAGAAAAAATTTTTAATTGTAAATATTAAGTCAATTATAATATTTTGTAAATTTATGCTAATGAATAGGAATAAGAAATAATTATTAAGAAATAATATATGTACATAAATATCATTAATTAATAAAATACTTTAAATATCAAACTTTCTTTGTCTTATTACTTTATGGTTTTGGATAGTGACAAACAAATATTAATAAAATTTTCATAAACAAAAAATGTATATGAATATATTTTGAAAATTTTTTATTTTATATCGACAGGAGTAGCAAAGCACGCCGGGTTTTAGCTAGTATATATATTTATTTCAGTTTGATTTGAAGTTTATTTAATCACTTTATAAATATTTTTTTAGTTAAAAAGAATGGTGAAAACGAAAAATTTATTTTGTTAATTAAATATATATATATATATATATATATATATATATATATATATATATATATATATATATATATATATATATATAATTTTTTTTTCTCTGAAGCCGAATAGAAACCGGTAATTTATATCGATTAAACTCATATATTTCATTTATAGATCATTAAATTTTATTCCACAAGAAAAGATTTGTTAGTTTCTTTGGTTGAAAAGCATTCTTCAGTTGTGGAATCCAAAGAAACTAACGCCATTACATGGGTCAAAGAAAAAAAAATCAAATGTGGGATGTAATAGCAGAAGAATTTGGAAAACAGTGCCAAACACACAGGACCGAAAAAAATTTAAAAGATAAGTACGAAAATATAAAAAAAGAAACCAAAATTGCCTTAGCAGCAGAAAAAAGAAAAACCTATATGACTGGAGGAGGCTCATCTGCAACGGGATTAAGTAATAATGTCGATTCAGATAAAGGTAAGTATTAGGAATGTGTTTGCCCTTATCCTCTAGCTCTTCCATTCCGGACTCCATCGTCTGTCAAATCGAATCAAAATGCGCAATAGAGGTGGTTGTAATTTATAAGAAATAAAATGCTAATATGTTTAGCACAACCACTATTGCAAACGGAAAAGACAGGCAGAACATGAACAAGAAGCAATATACATATACCCCAACAATTTTTTAATATTTTTATAAAGACATATTTAATGATCTTTGGCTTAAACATTGTTTCTTATTTTTTCCAGAAATTGCCAACATCAAATCAAATTATAGATCAAGTAGAAATTGATTTCGTTTCATTAGTAGAAGATGATTGCGAAGAAGGGCTTAAGGAGAGCAAACTTGAAAAGACAAGTAAAAAGTATACATTTTAAATATACACATTACTGGTCATAACAGTCTATATTTTTGTACTTGTTTTTATATATATATATATATATATATATATATATATATATATATATATATATATATATATATATATATATATATATATATATATATATAGATTTATATATATATATATATATATATATATATATATATTTTAGGTCTACTTGGAACTCTGCTGAACATGCAGAAAAGAGGTAACATCGACAATAGTGAGGAGTTACAAAAGAAACAAATAAAATTTTTTCGAAAATTAAAAAAATGGGCAGAAGAGCGTCATCTATTACAGAAACAGGAATTGGGACTTAAAACTGAAATTCTAAAAATTGAAAATGAAATAAAGCAAGTCCAATTGCAAAATTTAATGAATAAAAAATAAAAATTTAATGAAAAATTTTTGCAATATATTTTTAAATACATATACATATGTATTTTTCGTACTTTTTAAAGTTTAGAAAAATAATTGTATATGAAAGAATTTCTTGTGCTATTATTTGCATTCGCTGGGGAAACTGCTATATCTAACGATTCAGTTTCTTCAGGTGATGTATCTTCTACTATGTCTTCTAGTTTATCGTGGCGAAAACGGCATATATTATGCGAAACAGCACATGCAACTATTACATTCATAGCAGTTTCCACATGTAACCGCATTCCCAAAGACAACACTGGAAATCTCTTCCAAACCCCAAATGTTCGTTCAACAGTATTTCTGGTTCTTATTTGGAAGTCATTGTACAATATTTCCCCCTCTGTTTTTGGGTCAGTGAGTGGTGTTACTAAGTAGAATTTACATCCATAGCCACTGTCTCCAAGAAGAATATACTCATTAAACTCATTACTTTCAAATTTTGCTTTAATTCTACTATTATTATATATATTAGAATCATGAGCAGAACCCGGCCAGCGGGCCACTATATCTGTAATTTCCAACTTAGCATTGCAAATAGCCTAGAAACAACAATATTATAATTAAGAACTATAGTATAATATAAATAGCATTATACAAAGTATAGCTAACTCGCGCGCAAGTTTCACTTGAAATCGACCGAGAAAGTGATTATAGCAAATAGTCTTGAATACTAGGATAAAAATATTGGTCTTGAAGAATATCTTATTCATACCTGAACATTCAATGAAAAATATCCTTTTCAATTTCTAAAAATGTCTGCATCATTTCTTCCCGGTGATTGAATCTTACTATGAATCCCATCAATAGCGCCTATAACTTTGGGAAATTTTGCTAGCTGTTTGCAAAAATTTGAAGCTGTTTGCATTATATCTTCCTTATTTAATGGCATATAGATAAATTTATCAGATAATTTAGCAATCGCAGTTAAAACCTTTTTAACAACTCGACAAGCAGTCGCCACACTTACACCACAATAGTCAGCCACTGTTATTAGAAAATTTCCACAGGCATAGAATCTTAACGTTAAAAGAACCATATCTTTTGGAGGCAATGCATGATTCCTTTTTATTGAATAAAATTATTGCAATACAGTACAAATATAAACATATCATTTACTCATTTACTACATATGTACATCTATAAATTGAGGGAACATATCTATGTACGTACATTAAAAGAAGTCCAAAACATATCGATTTTGTTTGGACAGGTCTTATTTTGTTCATTAGCTTCTAAAACTAACTGGTGTTAAATTTAAGTCCAATCGGATAACGGAAACTTCTAATGTACATACGTGACAAAGATTTTCAAAACGCGGTTAAATGAAAAAAGTTAAATTTAGTTTATAAACTTACATACCTCGAAGAATTGGCTTGGATGCTTGTGCCTACTAAAGAAGTTATATATTTAGCAGTTTCTTTGGATACTTTATATCTTTTATAAAATTCTTTTTCTAATAAGGCATAATGATCAATTCTTTCCAAATATTTCCGCTTCCGTGATCTATTCACGGGAATATTGAATATATTGAAAAAATGCAAATATTGATTATAATTTGCTGCCATTTTTACAAATAAATATTTTAAATTTTCTGTCAGTTAAGTCTATAACTGAAACTTTTTCTTCAGTTAAATTTATCTCAAACTTTTCAGTTAAATTTGTAAGTTAAATTATAACTGAATTTGGTGAAAAAGAAAATATGCTAGCTGACAGTTAAAGTAATAGTTAAATTATAACTGAACTTGGTAAAAAGGGCCGTTAGTGTTGAAGATTTTAAATAAAGTATTTTCAGAGTTTTACAGTCCAGATAGTTTTATTAAAATTGGACATTCTTAACCGATAAGCTGTGGAGTTCAAAGGCAAAATTTTGCAATATTTGGGAATTCCCAGTGTTCCATACCGAAATATTTTTTATTTGTCGGTCATTTTGACCAATAACTACTGGACTTTATCTTCTAAAGTCCGGTATTTAAAATACAGCGAAAATAAGCTAAATTAACACTTAAACGAACTTGGGAGCAATTTAACACCAAAGTTCAAAAATTCGAAAAAACACTATCTATTTGAATAATGCTCTATATAATTAGAGGAATAACAAAAAAATGAAACAAAAATATGTATATTTTAAGTATACAAAATTTTACTTTAACCCTTTTTGACTATGGAGGTGGATTGAGGTGAACATTTTCATAAGTAAAATTTTGTTTTTAAACTGATAATTATGTAATCCTTTTTTGGTCGATTTTTAATCCAAACTTTATATGGTCAAAAAGGGTTAATTCATAATTTTGTATACTTAATATATATAGTTTTGCTTTATTTCTGTTATTCCTCTAATTATGTACAGCATTATTCAAATATGTATGTCCACAGCTTATTATTATTATTGTTATTATTATTATTATTATTATTATTATTATTATTATTATTATTATTATATTATTATTATTATTATTATTATTATTATTATTATTATTATTATTATTATTATCTATTATTATTATTATTATTATTATTATTATTATATTATTATTATTATTATTATTATTATTATTATTATTATTATATTATTATTATTATTATTATTATTATTATTATTGTTATTTTTTATTCATTTATTTATTAAAAATTTTACATAAGTTTCTTAGGATTAAAACCCGCGAAGCTTTCGCTTGTCTGCAGGTATGGCTTGGTTTGAGTTCAATTTCTTACATTAGATGTGTACAATTTTTCTTTTCATAATATGCAAGATATTTACATAAATATATTACAGTTTTTATGTTTTTAAAATTCATTATAAATAATTTTAATTTTATATTATGTTTGCAAATTAATTAAATGAATTTTTATAAGTTTATTTCGTTTTTTTGAATTCGTTTCATTAATTATAGTTGTAGGGATTTTATTTAGTATTGTTGGCAGTATGACATTCAGTGTGCTTTTTCCGTATTCGTTTGTAAATCGGTCTACCTTGAATCTTCCCTGGGAACGGCATCTGGTATTGTGGACATGGTTTATTGACTTCAAGTATGTGGTGTTATTAAAGAATTCTTTCGCAATTGTAGAGAAGTATAAGTTTTTGACGCTTAGGACGTATAGATCTTTTGTAATATTTGTTGAGGTTGCTTTATTGTTGTTTAAAAGTATAGTTTCTATTTAGAATTGTGTTTTGTTCTATGTTTTGGTTGTTATTAGTTTGATTTGTGTTGGTAGTTTGTTAGTAGTTAGATACATTGTAGTGTACGTTATTATTTGAGATGTGTAGTTATTTTGTTGGATATTGTTACCATAATTTGTATTACATTGGTGGTTTTTCCGTAGAACTTTTTTTGTTATTTTTTTGTTATTATTATTATTATTATTATTATTATTATTATTATTATTATTATTATTATTATTATTATTATGATTATTATTATATTATTATTATTATTATTATTATTATTATTATTATTATTATTATTATTATTATTATTATTATTATTATTATTATTATTGTATGTAATCCAATGAAATAAGTCATATATAAATATCAATTACTTAAGGTCTTAGATATTTAAATTTATTAATATTTATACTTTGTGGGCTTTAATTTCCTTTCTATTTTAATAGTTGTTAGTACACACTCTACTAGAAATGTTCAAATTTTATTTGATTTATAAAAAAATAAAACTAAAACTTTAAAATTTGTACGAAAGTAAAATGTATAAGTTAACTAAAATTAGATTTACTATGGTCCAACTCTGATTTTTTTATATGTTGTTGTTGACATTATAAACAAATTTTAGTAAAGGAATAATGAAAATGAAAGATACCGTTTTTAAGATATCCTTGACTCAAGGACATTTTTTTATATAATTATCCTTATATAAAACTATAATATTTCAATAAAATGTTGTCAAACTAACACCCACAAAAGTATATATCTTCTGGATCCTTATTAAATTCTAATGCGATCTAGCCACGTCCGTCCGTCTGTTGAAACACGATAGAGTCCAAATGGAAGTAGCTAGCGGGCTGAAATTTTGCATAGACATTTTATATTGATGCAGTTCGTTTGGTATTGAAAATGGGCAATATCGGTCCACGATTTCGCCTAGCCCCTATATAAGGTCCCCTTCAGAAAATGACTAACGCTCATAACTGACTAAAAGAAGCAGCTATAGCGATGAAATTCGACATAAACATAGTTTATAGGAACCTTAATATCTTTGTAAAATTTTATAAAGATCGGTCCATAACTGACCCTACCCCCCATATAAGGTTCACTTCAGAAAATTATTTTAACGCTGATAACTGTCTAAAAGATGCATCCATAGCGATGAAATTCGACATGAACATCTATATCTATATATGTATGTAAAGGGTATACGAGAAGCGAAGCGAAAAACGATAAGAAGCAAAAACGAAGAACTCTGATTGAAATAAGAAAAATATATATAATAAGGGGTAAAAAATAGAAAAAAGACTATTAAAATACATTATTTTATATACCCAACAGTGAATAATCAAGTTTATTGAAAATAAATCAAATTTTGGATAAAGAACTAATTTAAAAACAGCCCAGCAATGACTGATTGCAATACATGCAAGTTAGCCATTAGAGGTGAAGCAGGCATTAGATGCAGTGGTGTATGTGATAAAATATATCACTGTACAAAAAAATGTTCAGGAGTGGATCAATACTCAATGGGAATGCTAGAGGCAAATAATTTTATAAGGTTCATTTGCGAGGATTGCATGCAATACATAAGGAATGTTGATCTTGTTTTAGGAGAGATACAAGACGGAGTAAGGATAAACAAACAAAATCTAAAAGAATATAAAAGAGAATTTGAGAATCACTAAAACAAAATGAAAATGAAATAAAACAACTATTGCAAGCTATTGAAAAAAGGTACGAGGAGAGACTCAAAATAATAGATAAAACACAAAAATCATGTGAAAAAACGTTGAAGAAATTAAAA